GGTTAAAACCCACCAGCCACTCCTCGGAAGGAAGATGGGGCAATCTACTTCTGTAGTGATACTGCCTCAGAAACCCAAGGAGGGGGTGCTATGAGTCGGGTCCGACTCGACGGCACATAATAACCACAACAACAGTGGCTACCAATCATGAACATTTTTCATGTGTACTTGTTGGCTGCTTGGATGAAATTCTATTGACATCCTTTGCCTATTTTATAATCGGGTGGTCTTTTTGTTTTTGAATGCTGAGGTTTTCTATAAATTTTATAGATTAGGCCCTTATCAGATAAGTTGTTTCCAATGTCTTTTTCCTACTCTGTAGTTTTTTTTTCCCCTTCATTCTTTTAATAAAAAGATCTTTTGATGAGTAGAGGCTTATAATTTTTATGAGGTCCCATTGATCTACTTTGTCTCCAGCTATTCAGGCATTTATTGTTATGTTTGTAATCCTATTTTCACCAAAGATTAGGTCCCACGGTTTTCTTCCAGGAACATCATAATTTTAGGTTTAACATACAGCCTTTCGATCCATTATGCGTTAGTTTTCATATATGGTATGAAGTATGGATCCTGCTTCATTTTTCTGCAAGTGGATATTCAGTAGTGTCAGCACTATTTATTAAAGAGACTGTTTCCACTCCACTGAATGGACTTTGACCCCTTATTGAAAATCAGTTGTCCATAGATGTCTGGAAGGAGCTCTGGTGGTGCAATGGTGAAAGCATTCAGCTATTAACCAAAAGGTCAGTGACTGGAACCTACCAGACACTCCATGGGAGAAAGATGCAGTCTGCTTCCTTAAAGACTGTCAGCCTTGAAAATCCTATTGGGAATTTCTACTCTGTCCTAAAGGGTCACAATGAGTCGCCTTGATGCCAGTGAGGTGGTAACTGTGGATAGATTTACTTCTGTGTTCTCAATTATACACCATTGATGCATGTGCCTATCCTATCATTGAACAAATATCAGGCTGTTTTGATTATAGTGGCTGTACAGTATCTCTTGATATCAGGGAGTGTGAGAGCTCCTGCTTGGTTCTTTTTCAGTATTGCTTTGGCTATTCAGGGTTTCTTTCTTCTCCATATGAAGTTGATTATTAATTTTTCTATTTCAGTAAAGAGGGTTGCTGGGATTTGTATTAAGATTGCATTGTATCTATAGACTACTTTAAGTAGAATTGATATTTTCACAATATAAAGTCTTCTAATCCATAAGCATAGAAAATCTTTCCATTTATGTAGATTTCTTA